CGGCGCTTCTCAAAAATCAGGCGGCCTCGGGAGCCGCCCGCTCCGCGCTCGCCTTTCCCCCGCGGCGTGAGAGCAGCTTTGTCGCGCTCTCGGAGCTCGGGAGCTCCCGACTGGGTGCGGGGCGTCCAGCGTTCCTCCTGCTGGGCTGGCTCGGGAGAGGGTTGGGTGGGAGCGGGGATTACGGCTCTGAAATTAAACGGGTGCTGCTGGGAAAGGAGGGGGACCGTTAATAAACGGTCACCGGGTACCTCTCCCCTGGTTGCAAGACCTTATTTTCGCTGGCGCTTAAATAGAATACAGCGCTTGGATGCATGGGGTGCCTTTTTTAAATAGCGGTTCCGTTACCAAGTGTAGGAAGCGTGACCAGAGGGCTTTGAGCACTCGGGCCGGCACGTTCCAAGCCTAATGATTCACGCTTATGATTTGAAACTGAGACTGCAGGTTTGAAGTTCAGTTGCATATTAGTCTTTCTTGCAAATAGCTTGCTGTATTGTTTTTTAAAACTTGAGGGGAAGGGCTTGAGGTAGTAATGGAAAGACGAGTAATTAAATGGGGTCACTGGATTTGACGCTTGTTTGAGCTGACAGAGCAGAATGGTGCTGCGTAGCTGGCGGATTAGCAGTTCTCTATTAGATAATAATTCTCTAGGGATTTATACCTGCTGGTAACTGCTGCTTTTATTTGCCTAACATGGATTCTGGGTGAGTTTGGTACTGATGACCAACCTCCTACAGACCAACAATCGCAAGATTCTTGTCTAAGCGAATAACGCAGGCTTTGTGGCGCTGCCTCCGTCACAAGAAGTCCAGCTATTGAGATGCCATTACATGAGTTCCTCTGTCACGAGCTGGTTGATCACCAGTTCTTGTTCCTTTCCCCATGGAAAGCAGGTAAACTCAGGGTGGGTTTTTCCTTTCAGCCTTCTTACGCTGTAGGAGCTGTACATTGCTTCTGGGGCAGCCGCGACAGGGGTGGCAACCTGCCATATATGTCAGCGTTTAAGCAGGACTCGGGTATTTGCATCTTGGTGAATGTAATGAGGTCAGTAGAATAGAATTTAAGAGAAACATAGGTGGTCTTATTCATCTGAACTCAGTTTTTTTTAAGAAGTGGAGGGGAAAAAAAAAGCTTGTAACATCCATATTTCTCCCCTCCTGGAGAGGAATCTCTCTTGCACCACGTTTTTTGTTTTGAACTGAAGGGTGGTAGGTCCCGCTGCATTGGGCTGTAGAACATTTCAATGTCCGTTTGTTTTTAGGGAGCAGGTGAGCTATTTAACTTGTTCCGGGCTTTCACAGAATCAGTCTTGTTCAATCTGGAATATAATAATTTCTTGAAAATGTTTTGGGGGATAAGATTGACTTTCTACCGAAAGAGCTGGTGGGTTTACCTCCCTTATCCGTAAGGGAAGGGTGCTGAAGAAAATGTAGATAAGGCTTCTGTTTGCTCTGTTGTCTTTCTGCGAAGTCATGCACCAGGTGAAAGGTCCTCAAAGGAGGAGATAAGACCTTAGACCAGGGAGCAGGGTGCCAGCCTGACCTGCAGGAGCTGAAACGATGTTGTCAATTTAGCTTGCTTCTATTTAAAATTTAGTATTTAATGGTGGTAATTTCTGATGTTCCTGGCAAATCAAGAGAAATAGCTCCCCTGTGCTCCTCGTTGCTTTTCTTTGAATTTTGATGGGATTTGGGTAAGTGCTTTCATCACTTTACTATACAGATGGCTTCATTTTTGTTGTGTAGGAGTTTCTTGTGCCAGCCAGAGAAAGACTGAACGATATTTTAAAGAGGAAAACAAAAAAGTTGGCTCAGGGAGGAAGGGGTATGTTTTGAGCGCCTTCAGCTGATCTTAAATTTACCTTCTTTCTATTAACTGGGGTTTTTTTAAATATGCAGTTGTTAAAATTCAGCTGAAACAACAACATACACACAGGTCTTGGAACTTCCCGAGATACAGAATACCATATAGCAGTTGTGATATTTGGAGTTGAAGGCCAATCAAAATACACAGTTCTTGCTAGAATGTTTTCCTTTCGAGGCCTGCGTGGGATGCCATTAGCTAGTTAATTCTAGCTTTTCCTGCTGGCCCTCCCGCTTCTCCTGCCTTATCCCTAATACAATACAACCCTTTCCCTCGCATCAGAGCAGCAGTGCTCTTTTTGATCTAGTCTTATCAGGCGTACAGCTTTCATGGTGTTTAGAGAGCTTTGGAAACAAGGAGTTTTTTTATTTTTTTAAACCCGGACTTTAACAGAAAATCTAAGTGAAATGGATAGCCACTAGAGTTAGCCCCCAAACTGTTCTATGCTGGAGATGTGGTCTGCAGGGACAAAGAGGGAAATTTCTCTCTCTGTATATTCAGAATGCTCAGATAGAAATACTGCAGCTTTTTGTCTTTAAAAAACAAAACAAAACCAGCTTCCTTTGCTCATGTTTTGTATTTTAGTGCTACTGGACATAAAAACTGTGACAGTACCGGGCGTCACATAATAGACACATTAACACTGCTTTTACACCCGATTCTCAAGCTGGCCCTAAAACTGGCTATTTCATTACGTATTTGGGTATTTGTAGAAGAATGTCCTTTACCTGCTCCCTGCGTGAGTCTTTTGAGATGGAAAGAGACTTCAGGAGATGGATGTTGGTGTCTGGCAATGGCTGTGAAATAGAAAGACGTTCCTTTCCTTTCTGTTTTCTTCTTTCCAAGCTGGACATTAGAGCAGGGAAGGATGTTTGGTGCCCAGCAGTCCAGAACTCTTTTAGCGGCAGCTGCTGCACTGCAGAATTGAAGCTGGGAATTATCTCCTCCTCTTCTCCACCCCACTCCTCCTCCCAGCCTCGGATTCAGACTGGCTCTGGGGTTAGCTGTGCAAGGCCAGCTGGCTGCTCATCTGACTGTAGTGCATCGCTGCCCAGCAGCCTGAGACGAGACTGCAGGGTGTTTTTTGGAGAGTTGAGTTTCAATGGCCACCCTGACTAGCGAGAAGCAAGGACTGCTTATACAGACAGCTCGTTTCTATCTTGTGCAGAGTCGGCTTTGTAGTGGGATGTTGAAATATGACACAATGCCTGTTTGTTTGCAATAGCTGCAACCCTCGTAGCAGAGATTCAAGTGGGAAACAGAGGGGGAATCCAGAGACAAACCAGCGGGGGAATTAGGAACTGTGACGCCGTGTCCTCTCTCCTGTGCCGGAGCAAGCAAAGGAAAGAGAGGTAGAGGAAAAAAGACTGAGCCTTGCGACCAACCGTCACCCTGACGATGTGTCAGTCAAACACCCTGCAGGGACCAGATCTGCACACAGGGAAATGGTGAGATGCTATAAAGCTTTATCTAACCCTCCACCCTCTTGCTACAACCTCCACAAAGTTAAAATTCATGTCCGGAGGCTGCGTTCAGGGAACGGCGGCAGCAGGAGCTGTGCCAGGGACCAGCACCCACAACTGGAGAGTCCAGGCCTGGCTGGCTCTGCCGGTGGTACACCAAATAGGAGAACTCATTTCAGGTACTGTTCAGTATTTTCTGCTTTGCAGGAATGGTGACTGAAGGGAGAAACGAGGGCGGGAGGATGGGAGGGTTTCTGGGCAGAAGAAGCGATGGCCATCTGCAAAGCTTTTGTTTGGCCTAATTACTATAAAGCTCCTTATGCATTGAATTGGCAGAGAAGGGCATGCTGTTCTATGACAAGGGGGATGAGGAGGCTTTCATTCCTTACCTTTGAATTCTCCATCACTAGGAGAATAGAAAAATTAGCGAGGGACTGCTCTGAAACCAGGCCAAGGCAGTGAGAAGCCCGAGGGCTCTCGAGTGAGCTGCCAGGATGCAGCTCTGCGGGGATTGGTTCCTGAGCAACTGCAGTGAAGGGGGGGAGAGCAGTGGGAGGGGGAGCAGGACCTCCACGCTCAATGCTGGCAACCCAGCTCCCGGCCTTGCCAGCCCTCGAGCAGACCGCAGGCTGGTGGACGGTAAGGATGGGAGGAAGAATGTGAAGTGTCCCCGCCTGTTCCCAAGTCAAGTCAGTCCCGCGTCCTACTGAGAAAGCCAGCTTTACCTCTGCCAAGACAGCACTAAATCGCCTCAGGGTTTTTTTCCCCTTGCATTGTGATGCACAGATCATTCTCTGTTTTTTATTTATTAATTCTTGGGGGGAAAGAAGTCGTGCTCACTGCAGAAAAAAAAGTCTGAGCCAAAAGCACCATCTTGCCTCCCAAAGTGGTGACAGTTGTACCTGCCTGCATGACACTAATTCTGATCCAAGTTTTGAAAAGAACGTGTTGGCAAGAAAATTTCCTTTTAATTTCCCAGCTTCTTTCCATCTTGGAAAGACACACACAGTATTTTATAGTTCATCCTTTGCATCATATGATCCAGCGATAGAGCGAGCTGTTCAGAGCAGCCAGAGCGTACCACTTGCAGTTTGTGTGCGCACATGGCTGTTATCCTGGTTGCCGGCATGCTGCCTTCAGCAGTGTGGGGAGAACAATCTCTTAGCCAGGATTTAAGTCAGTGCCCAAAAGATTTGAATGTTCTGCCCTCAGGTAGGCAGACTTTCATTTGACATTGACCTTGGAAATGCCAACGGTTTCTTTATGACTAGAAGCCAAAGAATAAATGGGGACCTGAAGGGTCTCTCATCCAGACCTCCTGCAAGGGTCTGAACCGAGGCCCATGATGTCTTCTGCTAATAAGATGAGCAGCTTTTCTCTCCAAGAGTTACAAGTTCAACTTCTCCCCATGGCCACTTGTGCAAAATGAGTTTGCTCTCAGCCAGGACATCCACATCACAAAAAAATCATAGATGCAGTTGGTTATGAGGCAAAGGAGTTGGTTATTGGGCTATGGAGACTAGATTATCTTGCAGCACTAGCGATATCTGCTTTGTCCACATGTTCTCTGTTCAGAGCCAGGGTACGCAGTGAAGGTTTTAAGACCTGGAAAGATGTCTTTTGGAATCAGTTATTTGAAAATTGTATTAATTAACTCGGGAGTGCCACTCCTGTTGTTTCTCAAGTAAGTGTTTGTTTCCTGAAGTTAGTGAATGACCAACAGGTCTGTGTAAATTTGACTCCAAGGCACAATCTAGTCAAGATGCCTTCAACACATGAACCCTCTGAGGGACCTCAGTTTCTTAGGTTTCAAGGATTTCTTTCATCAGAGTATCTGTTCTTTCCTTAGTATACATTACAATATACAATTCCTCCATACAGTTCTTATTAAAGTCCTAGCATCACAGATTCCTAGCTTTCAGAATATTGTTTGCTGTCCACTTTGGCTATCCAACAGCTGGAGCCGTCACAAAACACTTTCTGGGGATGTAATCTTCTGATATTTGGAAGAAGAACCTTTGCGCTTTCTTATTTCCACTGTAAACTATCATGTTATGTTGTTAGTTGCATGAACCAGCTGTGACTGTTTTCAGATGTCACCTGCAAGTGATCTTGCCTTTAATTTTTGAGGGTGTCACTCATAAAATGTGACCTGTGAGAGTGAACACCATTTTTTGGACAGAGGAGTTTTCTTTTTTTTTTCTTTTTAAGGTAAACTGGTCTTCTATTTGGGAAGGGGAAGAACTGACCAAAATAAAGGAGTAAAGACTTGCAGAATCAATGTTTAAGTAAAGATTAGCAGGAATAAATCATCCCCAGCTATCAGAAGCTGGTGGTTCTGAAGCTGAGATGGCTGACCCTCTTATGTTGTGTATGTAATCTTTCAGGTTGCAATTTCCCCAGCTGGCCCTGAGGCGAAGGTTGGGCCAGCTAAGCTGTATGTCTAGGCCTGCTCTGAAACTCCGTTCTTGGCCTCTGACTATTCTCTATTATCTTCTGCCTTTCGATGCTCTTAAACCCTTGACCAGAGTGGGATGGAGGCCTATGAGCAGGGTAAGTGTGAGCAGGTCTCTCTTGCGCTTCGTGTTTGTTAGCTCTTTTATACCGAAGGGAGCTGGCAGCAGCTGTTGGATATGATCCTTAATATAGAACAGGCTGATGATCACTAGTACGAAAGCAGAGAGATGCAATTCACGTTTCCCTTTAGTTTTTACTGTTCATAGTTGTGCTGACTAACTGCTTCACAGACAAGTGATTTTTTTTCAGTAGCAGAGAACTTCTTTGTCCTCTAACGGTCAAGGGTCTACCCAGGAAAATCAACAGAAACTTCTGAATTAATTCAGTCACCTCGAAGTATCAGGGCTAGGATGAGGCAGACCTGCTGGTCTTCTCCAGTTCCCTTTCCTGGCCACATTGAAATGGTCTCTTGCTTTCTGTCATTTTGGCACAGAAAGGGTTTGTTCCTCAAGTTCTTTGAGCATTTGTAATCCAGCCTGTCCAAATGGTACGCAGATCTCTGCTCTGATACTGTTGTGAGCAGGGTGTAGGAAGCCTTGCACGTGGATATTCTCTGCACACATGCAATTTCAGAATGCAACAACCACAGAAATGTTTTGATTGAAAACTGCAACAAAATTGTGGTTAAGACTATTTCATTGAATAGCTGTTCTGTTTGATCCCATCAACTTGAAAACCAGGCTCTTTTGAAGAGAAGGGCCTACCAGGAAATACCACTTCGACAATTTTTGTGATTTTACAGCAGTAGCTGCATATTCTCAGTATTTGTGGAAAACTGAGCAAAACTGATTTTAGAAATTAACACTGTATAAGGCATGTCAAATAAAATGGCAAAACATTTTTTCTTCAGTACTTCGGCTTATATAACCTAAGGTACTGTTGATTCAGATGTTTTTATCTGAAGTAAGATTAGGTTGCTGTTTTCTTTCTGAAATATCACTGTATTTTAATGCGATGCAGGATGGCGATTTGTGAGTGAAATCCTAATTCACTGTATTTGATAGGATGGACAGGCTCTCAGCCAGTGTGTGCTTCTGTTTGTGTTTATGGCTGTATTTTGCAAGACTTAATTATGAAGGATATGATTAATATTGAGAATAAATGATGACTCCCACTAAGAAAAAAACCCAACTTTTAGTTGGGAGTTAAATGTAGCTGAGCTGCACTGTTCAAAAAAATTGTACTAGGTTCAGTAGGTAACTACTTCTTTTGTAAAACTGGTTTTGGAGGGTTCAGTGCCCTTGGTCCACACCTCCCACCCCCTTGATGACATCATGGTCATATGAGCTTTTTTTGGCTGATACTAAGTACCACAAACCTCAGCAGAGTTACCTGCTGGAATTACCAACAGGAAGACGCCGTCATCTGTCCAGTTACATCAACAGCATATACCTCTTACCAACATTGTTTCATTTGTTTTTCTTGCTACTAAAACTTACGCTTTGGTGTAAGTCCAAAGATGTATTTCTACGGGAATAAAGGCACTTTACTCTTACAGTTGGCAACTCCCGTTGTTGCGAGAGGAGTAAGGCTGGCATAAGTTTACAGCGGTGTAGCTGCATCCACGTGGGTACGTTTCTTCGATTGTACTAGTATCATTAGAGCAGTACAATACTGGGATGTGGAAAACACCCTCGTTAGTAGATGCATAGAGAAGCACGTCATTGACTGAAAAAATAATTTGTCAGTGTTCAATTTTCATTTGGTTATTCACAAAAATTAATATATTGGTAACATTAAACCCTTCTGATGAGTGTTCTACTAGAATATGTGAAATGTGTCTTTTTTTCTGTAAGCCTCACACTGGGCAGTTTCCAGTTACTTGAATGTGGAGCTTCAGCCTGCAGGGGAGTGGAGATTCTGGCTTCAGTATAAGGTTATAGTAAGTTTCATCCTGTCTCTCATCTGCTCTCATCAGAATGGAGGGAGTGAGGATGAAGCGCAGTGTTAAATTTTTGCTGACTTAAAGGCCACTTTGTGTGGTGTAACCCACTGAATTCAAGGGAGTGGTTAGCAGGGACAGTTTGATCCTTTCTGGTTTATGGGGAGAAGTAAGAGAAAGCCGTCAGTGGGAAGAACTGAATGACGTGGTGCAATTCTTCTTTCTTTAGGTTGCTCTGTACAAATCAGTACCAACTCGGCTGCTCTCACGAGCCTGGGGTCGCCTGAACCAGGTGGAGCTGCCTACATGGCTCCGGAAGCCTGTTTACAGCCTGTACATCTGGACATTTGGAGTGAACATGAAGGAGGCAGCTGTTGAAGATCTGCATCACTATAGAAACCTCAGCGAATTCTTCCGCAGGAAGCTGAAACCACAAGCGCGGCCAGTCTGCTGTTTGCACAGTGTGGTGAGTAAAAGGAAATGAAGGCTTTACACTACACTACCAGCTCCCCCCCACCCCCCAAAGGAACGTGCCTGCTTTATGAGGAATGAATGAATTCCTAATGTGTTTCATTTTTTTCTCTTTGCTGTAGATTAGTCCCTCTGATGGAAAGATCCTTAATTTTGGACAGGTAAAAAACTGTGAAGTGGAGCAAGTAAAAGGGGTTACTTACTCTCTGGAATCTTTCTTGGGACCTCGCACCTCCACAGAGGAACTGCATTTTAGCCAGGGTGAGTTCTGCATTTATTCTGCTCTGCCCTTTCAGTGTTCTCAGAGATCATGAGAAAAGAGATTGCCTCTCCCCCCCATCCCCCCCTTTTCTTTCTCACATCGTCAGTAACAAAAGCAGGGCTGATTTTTATTTGTTTGTTTGGGGATAAACATGTCACTGTTCTAGTTCTTCTCTTTCTCACCAGCGGCTTTATAGTGTCTTGCCTGGCTCATTCTGATTATCTGAATTTAATTGCTTGGTTCCTACAATTGACTCCAAGATCTGCCACTATAATGAGGCTACAGCACTGCTGCTGTCAGACTGAAATGTGCCCAAGCACCTGGTTAGCAAAAATCACATAAGCTACTCCGTAACAAGATTTACGCTCAAGCACTATACCTCTAATGACTTGTGCTATTACTGCTCTGCTGCACCTCAAGCACTGTCTCCAAGGCCTTGGGTTTTGATGAAAGCAACACATTTTGCTAAACTGGCGAGGGGACTGGAGAGACCGAGTTCTGCAAACAGCAGGGTTATTTTCAACACGAGCACAAATGAAACTAATGCATTTTCTAAAACTAGGGACTCTTCACAAATTCTGTTCTTCAAAGGGTTGCTTTGAGAAAAATTCTGTTCTTGAACGGGTAACTTTAATAAAACTTGTGTTTCACTGGATTTCAGTTTCTGCTCTTCTGTTTAGGGAAGGGCAAACTCCAAAATGAAGGCATTTCCAAAATTACTAAAACAATACAGGATCTAATTTTGTTGTAAAGGGAAAAGAACACTTTGAAATATTGGATTCCTGGACAAAGTGTAGCTTTTTGTAGTCTCAACAATGCATGTGGACTGCATTTAGTCCTCTATTACCACTGGTTCTAATGTAGACTGCTTGGCTATGGTAGATGACTGCATGAAGAGTATCTTCAACCCCTTTCTTTTTGCGGTTTCTTTGCAGCCCCACCTGGTAACTCTTTTCAGCAACAACTAGTCACAAAGGAGGGGAACGAGCTCTACCATTGTGTAATCTACCTTGCACCAGGGGATTATCACTGCTTCCACTCACCCACTGACTGGAGAGTGTCACACCGGCGTCATTTCCCAGGTAGGTTTCTGTTCCTAGAAAATGAATGTAGAGCAGCTATGGAGGGAAGCGCTGGTGTGGGCCACTGCTGAATGAGACACACCAGTGGAGCACTTGTACAGTCACGTGATAGATAATGGTAGAAAAATGATTTGTCACAAATGGTAATTAATTTTATAGTAGTATAGTTTACCAGAACAAATAACATACAAATGGTGAAAACAGTAATATCGTATGAAAGCTGTTTTTAGTTCTTTGAAGTAACTGTCGATGCATGCTGACCTGACTTGTTCCCAAACACGATTTGTTCAGTTTGCACCTGAAATACAAATAGTTCTGCAGATCAGAGCAAACAGTAGCCTGAAATATGATCTCTTCCTGTGCTCGGCAAAGAAGATGCAACTAAACAGTTACGTTATTAGAGCTGGGATCACATGCTTTTGTCCTCCTCTTTGCAGATCATCATACTGTAGTTCAGCAGTTAACAAAAATCTTTTAATTCTTGGTATCTAGCAAAAACCTAAGCACTTGGATTTGGTTTCAAACACCGTGAGGGAGAGACAGTGACCTGCCGCAAGGTTTGAGAAATCTGTCAAGTTCCAGATTGAAGCTAGGCCTTGGCTGAAACAAAGGAGTATTAGTGATGCTAATACTCCTGCTGCTATCGGATTCAATGCAGCAGATGCATTTTATAGCTAAAATGTGTGTAGTGAATATACCTCACTAAATTACTGTAAGGACTTTGTTGGGATTTAAATCTTTGAGGTTCTTCTGTAATAAACTTTTTTTTTTAACTGATAAACATTATTAGTATTATTTCCTGGTCAGCTCTAGCTAGATAGCTACTTGGTTTTCAGCCACAGTTTCAGTAACCACTTTTATGCATTTACCAAAAAGAACTGGAAGGGGCTGCTCTTGTGCAATCAATAGTTAACCAGGGAAACCTGTTCCTAAGCTGTAAAAAGTTTCTTTAGCTTCCTTTTAGGAGCCTGTAGCCTTTTGTTAGATGGATCTTGCGTGCTTATTAGAAGGCTTCTTTCAATTCTATCTATCAGGGCTGAGACTAGGGACTAGCTCTGCCTTTGTCCTTACCCTGATCTCTCTTAAGGGCCTATCAGATGACAATTAACAGTAGTTGTCATTTGTGAATTTGTAGATGACACTAGTGTGAAGTTGGTCGGTTATATCTTTGGTAGAGGAATAGCATCAGACAGTGTGGAAATGAGTCCCTGCCACCTCAGTTTGGTGTGATAGAAGAGTAGGTGATGATCCTAGAATAGGCTTCAACAATGGCAGATATTTTGAAAGGGACTCCCATCCCAGATTTTGCTCCCTACTTTAATGGCAGGCTTTTACTCTCTGGAAATGCAGTCAAGGTGAAGCTGTAGATGGGAGTAAGTGAAAGCTGAGGGAGGTGGGCTGGGGGTACTGAAAAGAACCATTTCCAGGTAGGAAAATTTAAACCCTTTGCCTTCTAACAGAGAGAACGGTAGATGGTGCTCCAGATTGCATTCAAGCCTTACAATGAAGGATGAGTATGGTCTTTAGTTTTTCTGTGACTCTGCTAGGAAAAATGCGAAGTAATATGAGCCCTGCCCAAAAGTGTTGATCTTTCTGGACAGAAGACTACAGATTACATCTTTGTATGACTCCTTTGTTTTTACTACAGTCTTGTCTTTCATTTGCTCTGCCTAGCATTTGCCTCTCTTATAAAAATAAGTGACAATTGCTTACTGGATCAGCTACAGTTATACTGAAAATACCATTTAGATAGCATTATAATACTGCTACAAACCAGACAACTTAACTTGCATATTTTCTCGCTGCTGCAGGCTCTCTAATGTCTGTGAATCCTGGAGTTGCTCGCTGGATCAAAGAACTGTTCTGCCACAATGAACGGGTTGTCCTTACAGGTGACTGGAAGCATGGCTTTTTCTCTTTAACAGCTGTAGGAGCAACAAATGTGGGCTCCATCCGCATCTACTTTGACCAGGTGAGCAAGACAGTAGTAGGCAGCTTTCTGGTTTTGATGGTTGAGGTTGGTACAGTATAATAAAAGAAAACTAAAAAAAAAACAACCTTAAAACCCTTAAAATCTTATTACCCTGAAATTAAGGTGTTTCACAATACTGATGTTTTAAGACTGTTTTAAAGGGAGTCATCTCCGGTATAGACTATTTTTTTAATATTCCTGTTGCACTTTAGAATTGTAAGTTCCTGCATTGAAAATGCCTGGATATCCAGTCTACAGCTGTGCTGAAAATCTGAAGTAACAGTTTCTTCCTTCTCTGTACAGGACTTGCATACCAACAGTCCACGTTACTCTAAAGGTTCCTACAATGACTTCAGCTTCATATCCAACAACAACAAGGAGGGAATCCCCATGAGGAAAGGGGAACATTTAGGGGAATTTAACTTAGGCTCTACAATCGTACTGATCTTTGAGGCGCCCAAGGACTTCAAATTCCACCTCAAAGCCGGACAGAAAATCCGCTTTGGAGAAGCACTGGGCTCTCTATAGAAACTCTCAGCAAGGTTTTCTATACAAAAGGACTCTTATCACACCACTGAGTGTTTCACTTAACAAGTATGTATCACTCAGCAGGACCTGGGTGAGGAAAACAGAAGATGTCATTGCTATGTTCAACTTGAGAGTATTTGGACTATATTTACATGCTGCTGAATGCAGAAAGAATTGAATGACCATATATGTATCAGGTACAGCTGCCTTTAAAGATATTGACCACGGAGGTTTCTGTCCCACCCTGTGCCTGTAGTCTTTCATGTTCTCCCCTCAATGTGCCACTGGATAATTATGTTCTTAGAGCCTGTAAGTCCCTTTTAAGCCTTCCTAGGCTGTGCAGGTGCAATGGAAAAGGGTGGAGGTAGAGATTAGCTATATTTAAAGGGACAGTGACAGGCTCAGTCAGACCTTGTACCTTCTATCTGCAATATCTGTTTTTCAGACCTTGAGTAAAGAACGTGTTCTCATATTTATTTTATTCTGAGACACTGCTGAAGTTGTTATATAAAGGCAGCCTGTGAATGCATAGAGCACCAAACAAGTAAATTGGCTAGTATGGCTTCACAGTGCAAACTAAGCAAAATGTACAACAGACAGCATCAGTACAATAAATTACTCATCCAGGTTTTCTACTGTTAGACAACTTTAATTCTTTTACCTGACACTGTCCCTTTAAAAATGGACTTTGCACTGTATTTTAAACCTGAAAACACCATGTCTACATTCCATATGATGAAACTGGTCATCTTGGGATTTTCTCTAAAAAAAAAAAAAAAAAAAAAAAAAAAAAAACCAAACCAAACCAGACAAAGCTGTGTGTGTCCTGTTCCTAACCCATGGTTTTATTTTGCTATTCCAGGCCTTAAAGATTGTATGAGAGACAAGTTAGTTCACCTCTTGGATTAAGGGATGAGAAGAGGTAGGGGAGGTTTTTCTTGTGTGATGCAATGAGATGGCAGCCAAAATATGTTTTTACTTTCTGCTATGTATCTTCATTGTTGCTTTGTCACTAAATTCTTGAAGAATTAATCCGTCTACTTACAGAACTTCAGGACCAATTTTTATTGCACGGAGTGAAATGCCCTATGCATTGACTGTGTATAAAAAAATTACTTATCTTTGAAGCAATCCCAGGTTCCCTCCCAGGTGCCAACCTGGCCGTCCTATAATGGACTGGCAACGATTTTATCTTATCTTATCCAAAACAGAAAACACCCCCACACCTGCTCTGACTTCTGCCCTCATACTTAATGCTACGAATGTGCTGGGGGCTGAAAGCTCTATGCTGAAGCTTAATCCTGCAGCAAAACTTTAAAGTCTCTTTGTAACTTCATGTCAAGAAGAGTTAAAATCTAACACATTGGATCTACTGAATGTAGCATTACATGGCACTGACAGAAACTGGTGCCAAAGTGAAGAGGAATTGAGTTTTAAAGCAATGTATCAATTGTTTTTAGAGAAATAAACTGTTTGAAGTCCAGGCACTCAAACATTTAGAACTGACTGCTGTCCAGAGCTTGTTGGAGTGGACACGCTTATGAAACCTGCCTTTCTGCTCTCTGAAAGATTTCTCATATTACTTCCTTGCTTGAGCCTTGAGTGTTTTTTCTGCTGCTTCAAGGAGATGGTAAGCTTTGACCAGCTCGGACTTCCTAAAAAAACCCAAAACTTATCTTCTTTCTATGCACTGCAGAAAATAGAATATAATTTTGTTGTACAAATGTCCAGTTTGCCAAGTCCTGTATGCTTAGCTTGTCATCAGGAAAGACGGGATGACAGACTGCCTTTAAGTGATGTACCCCAGCCCTGACTCAGATGATGGTGGCTCTTTGGGTGACAAGCAGGAGAAAATTCATTTGGCTCCAAGAGTCAATGTTTCCTCACTTTAAAGGGGGAGGAGTTTGAAAGCTTGAAGTAGCTCTCAGCCACTTACCTTGTTAAACTTCTTGGCATTAGCAAGTTTACTCCTGCAGTAGTATATTGCCATATACAGGTTATAGAAATGTACACTTTTTAAAACCATTAAGAGTGAGAAAAGACTAAGGCAAACGTCAACCCCAAGAGGATAAAGCTACGAGTAGCCTTTTGACTAAGCTTCAACATCATGTTAACAGTAGAAAGCAAATTTATTCCAGTGGATGAGAGAAAAGACAACTGAAATCTTTTGCCCCTTTTCCACTGGGGCCTATGGCATCCAGACACAAGCCAAAGCAACTTGAAGCTTTAATTTCTTCCTACTCAGCATCATCATCCACAGTATCTGAAGGTTACTGTTAGCCTCGTAATGAAGGACAGGTTACCTGATGTTTGCTTTATTAGATTTCTAAGAAGAGGGAGAGGATTCAGCATCCAAGTGGCTGTTTTTGTGATGGTCTTAATACTGTGCAGAGCTAGCTGATTAACAAACATTACTTGTTATGCAGTGGTCATATGCGCCCTGGAAGTGAAAGCAAAGTTCCTAGAGGGTACTGATAATGCTGTGAATTTCTCCTGCATGGAGAATCCATTTAATTCTTCAACTGTATCAGTAGCACAGTATTTTTGTATGTCAAAGTGTATGACTTACTGACATTAACTCATTTAATTGCAAACATTTTGAAATAAAAAGTCTTATCAGTGTTGCTTATCTTTCTGAAATGTCAGGGTAACCTAAACTAGGTATTGCGAGTGCAGCATGAGGTATGTTTAGCTCCTGGTTGGTTTGGTTTTTAACCAGCTGTAGTAACAAAATAAAACAAACAAATATTTCAGTTAATTTATAAAATAAAAATGCCATACATAGACTAAGATAATGTATACATCTCTTCCCTCTAAAGGCAAAAAGTCCTACCCGTGAGCTGGAAAATTGGTTCAGATGCATTATATATCCAGAGCAATCTGGATATCATGCAGGCGGGCAACGAGGTTCTGCACATGATGTCTCTCTTTTAGTTGTGCTTTGGTGAGAGTGTTGATCCTCATGTGCAACTGAAAGTAAAAACAATTGCATAAGCTGTTTGTACAGCAAGACAGCATTTAGTCTTTTTGACAGGGGAAGAGTGAAGGAGCTCTAGCAGCCTTTATATTATCCCACTTAAGAACCATTAAGTGACAGGATTGCGTCACTCGGGAACAGCCAAGTACTGGCTAGCTTTAGAGGTAACGGTGCAGTACCCCACACACATGGCTGTATGAACTTGGGGGACTGACGGCAGTGCAGTCATTGTAGTATACCTACATAGTCCTGAGAAATCACAGAAAAAAATGAGACTGAATCTGCTAAAGCCTGGTATATAGCTCGGAAATAGCCTTCAAAAGATCTGTTGGAGCTGGAGTTACATTTCTGAACAAATAGGAAGATGCATCTATACAGCAGTCTGTTCTGCTCGACAGCCCACTTCTGATTACAAGTTTCCCTTCTGGCATTTTAATAACAGCTTACTATACAGTTCCTCTCAATTACCATCAGCCTTTAGGCTAAGTGCATAGCAAGTGCAATAATCACTTAAGTAACTTCAATTTGTCTGCTATTTACATACCTGATCCAATTCTTCCTGAACTCCTTGTACACCATCTTGGTCCTCTGGTTGCGTGCTCATTTCTAGCCACTTGTGTAGAATCTGTGCCTGCTGCTGACAGGATCTGATAAAATGGATTAGAAGGATTCTTATCCCAATTAGGAGCTCAACAGTCTAAGCCAACTTATACCTGCAATTGATACTCGCAGTAAGACCCAATTTTTTGTCTCAAACCAGTGAATGATAAAAGTCTTCAAAATAAGAGAAAAAAAAAAGGATGCTGGAAAGCAGAGAAATCTGCCTGAAAGTTGTTGTCTCCATTTCCTACTCCTAGTTCCCGACTTCTTCCTTTCCTTGAATCCCCTCCAAGCCCCATTTTCTTTTAAGCATTTTTGTAAATGTCATCTTGTTCTAGTTGAAAAGTTGTCAGACTCCAGCCATTTTTTTTTAATTGACAGCTGAAAAAGCTGTCTTCACTCCTCATGATAAAAGAACTAAAAGCTAAATTTCAGCTGCTCTGCCAAATTCATTTGTACTGCCTTCAGATTACACCCAATGATACCTTTGTCATGCTTTCTCCAGTAGCTGCCAAAGGTATAATTAAACCACTTGCTGGCTACAAAAGAAGTTGTGCATGCACTCTCTCCCACGTGGAGTGAACTCTTAAAAATCTCTAGAACTTTTCTCTGTTTCATTCACAATTCTGCTGTGAACAGACTGGTTATTTTCAAAGTAGATACATACAAAAAATGCAATATTAAGTTGACAGCATTAAGGAAGCCTGGCTAAGGGGGCTTTGCAACATACTTGAGTTCTTGTTTCCTGCTG